CTCTGTAGAAGGAAGCCACAGGATGGGGACTGCTACCCAAGACGCTGGCCTGTGTTCCAGGCGTATTGCAGCTGTTTGGATCAGTGGGGGCAGGTGCTGGAAGGCCATGTCACAGTTAGGAGGCATCCATTGTGCTTCCGCATCCAAGGGTGAGCCTCTGGTCAGGGCAACCCCACCTGGACAGAGAGACCCTTGCCTAGCTCTTCTCCTGAGGCCCTTTCCTTCTGTCAGCAGCATGGAAAGCTGGTGGGCTTTGCAGTTCTGGGGAGCCAAGCTGGCATCCCAGGCTGAGCACAATGCCAGCGGAGGGGGGGAGGTTGTGAATCCTGGGACTGGAAACGCTGCCCCTCATGCCCTTGGCAAAGGGAAGCTCACTTTTACCCTCTTCGTTGTTTGCATGGAGCAGGGGTGCCCCAAGGGGTTCTCTACAGATTCTGCAGCTGTGAGGCCTAGCAACTTGCACAGGGTGGGCATGTGCGCGCCAGGGCCTGAGTTTGAGGCTCCTGATCCCCCAAGCGTTGTGAGGGAAGGGTCTTCTGTTCTTGGGCTCCAGCTGTAAAGGGCTACGTGATGCAAGCAAAACTGGGAACAATTCCCCCAGCCACTGCCACCCTTTGGGTATCAGAAGTAGGGGGCACCATGTTGATTGCCTGCCTAGGAAACAGCCCTTGTCATTTTCTTCCCCTCTCCTACCCTTGTCTGGAGCTGCCCTTAATGGGGAAGATAGGAGTCAAAAGGCAGCTGAGAGGAAGAGCCAGTTGGCCAACCACCTGAGGAGCAACAGAAGGGGAAATGCACCAGGCAGCTGCATGGGAGGGGTTAGCAGTGGGAGATGTGCTGCGCCACCTGGAGAGGTACATTGGGCTGTGGGGAAGCGTAGCAGAGGCCTCCTGGGGCCATTTGCACAGAGCTCCTTGGGACTTGCCATAGCCACCTGCTCCATATGGAGAGGGTCACCCTGGCACGTCTGCACTGCAGGAGGCTAAGCAGTTGGCATCGGGGCCTTACAGGCCTCTTGCTCTTTGCAGAATGGTCAAGGGCCTCTTGCCCAGCTGATAACAGCCACACGCTGCCCTGAGGTGACCTGACGTGCAGCTGCAGCTGGGACAGCATCCTGCTGCTGTTGCATGGGGAGGAGCGGAAGGAGCAGAGGGCAGAAGGGGATTGTCCTCTGACAGACACCCTGGAGCCCCTGAGCATGTCTGGAGAATCCCAGTTTGGCAGGGCTTTACATTGCAGACCCTGGAGGAGGATAGGAGGGTTCCAATTGCTGGGATCTGCCCTGGGCCATGTGATGGGTTAAGGCAGAGGGGGGTGACCTTTGACCCCAGCACAAGCCCAGTCCAGCGCGTGGGGGCAGATGTTGCTCCTAGACTGCCAGGTTCCAGCCTGCAAGAGACGCCTGCTGTTCCCCCTCACCCTTGCTCCTTGGGGGTGCTTCCCCTGCTGTGCCCTGGGGTGAGATCACATGCTCACTGCAGATACGTAGAGGTGGAGGTGGGCTCTCTTCCACCTGGGGTGGGGTGGCATGCCCTGAGCAGCTGGCCCCCCACGTGCAGGTATTCCACACTAAGGAAAGGAGCCCACTTGGAGTGATACATTTGTGCTAAGAATCAGCTTCCTTCCTGAGTCACTAGGCCAGGCAGGAGGGTGCTCTGTCCTCCCTCAGGAGGCAGGTGTCAAACCTGGGTCCGTTTGCCTGCTGGTTTGGCTCTGGGTCATCTAGGAGGAGCCTATTGGGCCAGACAGTTTGGATCGTGGCCACAGCGTGGAGAGCTCTCTGGAGCCAGAAACGTTGGCCTAGCCGAGGAGAAGCCGTGCCACGTCCTGACAGTCAGGGTGGAGGAGGTCAAAACAGGGCCAGGGGTGGTATCACCCTGTGATCCAGGCCAGGGCTGTGCAGGATCCTTTTCCCCCAAGCCCAGCTGCCCCTCCCTCCCTTGCCTGTAGGCGTGCTGGGTGAGCTGGGCATGGCAGGGGACCCAGCTGGCTGAGTCAGGGAGCTGGCTGTCTCCCAGAAATCAGAGCGTGGTTTCTCCCCTTTCCCTCCAGCCTGGGTTTTTTTCCGCCTTCACTAAGCGACAGTTTTGTGTATACACAACAAAGGCCTGCTTGCCTTGCCTCCCCTCTGGGGCTGAACCAAGTTTAGAAGGGAGAACCAGTGGGGCAGGAGTGTGCAGGGCATGGGGACCTCATGGCACAGCGGGGCCCTGCGGCCTCAGGGGCTCCTGCCTCCTGCCTCCAGCCCCCCACCCCCACCCCCCAGCTGCCCACAGGCAAGACTAGGACAGAAGCTTTCTTTCAAGTTGGAGAGGCTTATGATTAAGGTCAAGGGAACACCAGCAAATGGCGCCAGATCTGTTCATCCTTCAAGGTGCCACGAGTCCATTAACCTGGTGCAATGGGAGCAACTAACAGGCCATCTCCGTGGAACAGCTTGGTGGAGCGGGGGGCTTCATTCACACAGTTTTCCCCCACCAGAACAAGATTGGCTGTCTGTAATCCTTTTTCAAGAGCTGAATCAGAGTTTTGGGACTTGGTGAGTTGGGGGGAGGGGGTGCCCTTTCCAGCTGCTTGCATTCAGGATTGTGCCCTTATAGTAGAGTTTGGTCCTGGAAACCTGATGTCAGTCCCTCACCAGCAGATTTTCGTTGCGAGAAAGCTCTGATCAGAAAATGGCAACTCTCCTTGGGCAAGAACAGGGACTGTTGCACAATCTGTGGTTGAGCTGAGGGGTGGGTTGCTGGCAGAGGCTAGAAAAAATAAACCTTGGCATCTGGCTGGGGAGAGCCAGATCCTGGCACCAAGGAATTCCAGACTCCTCTCCAAGCTTGCTTCAGGGGAATTGCGTGAGGAGCTGGAGATCCTTCCTTAACAAGATTTGCTTCATTCTCAAAACTTGCAGAATGTTCTGGGTCTATTCCCACTTTAGACACTGAAGCAAGAAGAATGTGATCTTTGTATGAGCAAAGGCTTGGGAACTTTGCTAAATAGTTTCTCTTCAGACTTCGACCTACTTAACATATTGCTGTGGGTTGCAGCAACCTGGAGTGACACTAACTCCTATGCAGGAAGGCAAAGGTGTATTGTTCCAGGCAGGACAGGTAAAATGGACTTTCCCTGGTCTGAGGCTTGCTTGCTTGCTAAGATTACCCACCTCTCGTTCCTTCCTCCCATAGGCAGAAGGATGGGGCCCCATGGTGGATCAGCTCCTTCTTGTCACGCAGTCCCTGGGTCAAACAAAAGGCTAGGAAGAGATGACTACATGCAGAGGGCGTCTGGGATGTGCCTGCTCTGGGAGATTGGTTGCTAGGTGGAATCCAGTGGATCTCCCTGCAGAACAGCCAAGTGTGATAGACGAAGACTGCCCGTGCTCTCTGAGAGTTCCTGAAAATGGGCAAAGGGCCCCTCTCCTGCTTCTGAGCCAAAAGCAGGACATCACTTCCCTCTCTGTCCCTGTGTAAGAGGAGACCCCCCCCAAGCTGTGAGGAGTACCCAACCTGGAGATCTTGAGGGAAGGAAGAAGAGGAGAGAGGCAGGTACCACGTAATGGCTATTCGGGAAGCAGATCTGCGTTAGCCGGTCCTCTTAGGGAAAGTGCATGAGCAGAAAAGCACTGTATAAATTTAATAATGGACTTCCATTATAATCCTGGAGAAAGTGACAAGGGAATAAGCACTGTTCCATGCGGGGTGCTCAGAAATCCCTGCAGATGGTGGGGTACTGTGGCTTCAGCTTGACCCAAATGGGGTTTGAATCACCACTGTGCTAATCCAAGATCTCTTTTGCGTCAGAAGTCACCTTGCCCCCATCTTGGAATCCTGCTGTCTGCTCTGTGGCCAGTTGCGGAAGTGGTTGATAGCTCCCAGCGAGCAGCTCTGTACATAGCTACACTGTGGCTGGGAGGCACAGGGGGCGGGATTGGTGGGCAGGCAAGTCGTAGATGGATCTCCTGTCCTGCATCGTTGCTGGGCTGCAGCCAGAGTCTCACCCCAAGAGGGCTTGTTCCATGCCACGTCGTACTAGATACCCTCAGTGAGTGTTTTCTGTTGGGGAGGGGGCAGATTCCAAGATGCCCAGGCCCTGAGCCATGTGGGGCTTTATAGGTAACATCCTGGTATCATGCAGCTCCTGCAATAAAGGTGTAAAACGGCCCTAATGGGAATGACCACAGGCAGCAGCTGCGTTCAGTGCTGCCTGAAGTTTCTGGGTGTCAAGACCAGCCCCGAGAAAGGAAATGGCTGGGCTCCAATTTCCTGCTTTTTTTTGGAGTGGGAGGAGAGATGGTGGGCATTGTGGCATGAATGAGGGAAGGGGCCTTAGAGGAGTCAGGCACAGCTGTCTTGCCAACAAGGGGTGCAGGCAGGGTCATCAAGAAGCCCAGTGCTGATTGAACAGGCATAGGTGGCCCTTCGGTCAGGGTGCCAGGCTCTGGGTGGCATCCTCTAGGCAAAGCAGGGAGAGTCAACTGGAGTGGCTCAGCCTGGATCTGGCCAGTGATGGAAATGGGTGGCTACAGAGGCCTCGGCCCTTCCTATGCTGCTAAGTAGGCTTGCTGAATCTGTTTGTTTCAGCAAGGTTGTCAACGTATATGTAGAAAGCAGTTTTCTCGAATTTGACGCCCTCACCCCCCACCCAGTAACAGTAGGATTCCCAGTTGGGAGTTCCTTCCCCAGCTTATCTGGAGCACATCAGCCTGCTCTGAAATGTTCATGTGTGAATGTAACCAACTGGGGGGAGTCAGAGAGAGAGAGGCCTGTTACATGTGTCCTTTCCTCTGAAAACAATGCAGATCCCTGCTATATAAAGGCATAATTAAAAGGTGTGTGCCATTCTATGTAAGCACATTATTTGATGGGAATTGTATACATGTTTCCATTTTTATTATGTATTTATTGCCTGCCTGTTTTGGTCAGCTCATCAGTGTGTTGTAATCTTTTTATATATACATTCTGAAAAATAAAACATGATGCTACTTTTTAAAAAGCGAAGAAAATAGTTTTAACTTTTTACCTATGTTGTCTAAGAGACGCAGAATTCTGAGCCAAGGGCAAAGGGAAAGACAGCCGGCTTTCCACGCTTGGCGCCTCCTTGTGAGGGCCAGCTCTCGCACCCTTTGGCGTGGGAGCCACCAGCATTCTCTGCATGGGAAGTCTGCCTTATTTCGAAGGAGCCCGGGCATTCCTCCAGAGCAGGTCCTGGGCCGTGGCAGGATGTGCACTATATGCGACCCCCTCCACCATTCAGGCCCCCGAACCAGCGTGGACCTGGGCGCTTTCAGACACCAGATGTGCGTCTGCACCTCTGTCTCTGCATACTTAGGCACATGCATTTCTTTCTAATGTTATTCCCTAAAATTTCAGAATGAGGAAATAGCCTTCATCACCATTTCCCTTGCTGGTCCTCCTGTGAGAATACCAGTATTCCTAGGTTTTTTAATAACACAAGAAGCTGTGATTTGCAGTGAGACTCTGACAGCAGTGATTATGAGGTCAACCAAGCCAGCATAATATGCAACGGGATTGTCCCTAGAGAGGAACGCTTTGGATCTCGTTTGCTAGAAGGCGGTGCTGCTGCCGCTCCCCACCCTCAGAAGCACTGTAAACTGCTTTCTTCCAGCCAGACACCATAGAAGAACCTTTCTCAACTTTTCACCCTGGAGGAACCCTTGAGACAACTTCAGGTCTCAGGGAATGCTTGCATAAAAATTATTATATCTACAACTCATGATACAATGTGCTTTTTCCTTCCAACACCACCTCTTGTGGAACCCCAGCCAAGAAAGGCTGCTGTGAAAGGTGGACAGAGGTCAGAGCAGTGCACAGCACTTTCTTTGGGAGGGAGGCTGTGCCACCGGGCCTTGGCAGTGAGTTCTGTAATGGGGAAGCTTGTGTTTCAGGTTGCTCTACATCATCAGCTCGCGCTCTCTTGGAGAATTGACTGGATTCACGCCGCACAGAATTTGGGGTCTTGGGTGGCTGCCAGCCCAGGTGTCTTGAAGTGATGTTAAGCAAAGTTGACAATGGCTGCGCAGGCTCCCTACACGATCAGAGGCAGGACACAGGCCGGGCTGATCACCCTTGGAAGCAGGAGACCGGGCGGTCTGGACCTTGCTGCTTGTGGAAGCCATTGCCTGTCCTGCTCTGCAGGGCTGAAGGGAGCAGCTTCGGGCACACGTTGCAGTCCCCTGAGCTTATGGGAGCAGCCTTGGCATGATGGCCCTTTCCTGCTCTGCGTCCCAAACTCCTGGCTCGGCTCCAGGTGTTGAGAGGTGCTTCTCCGTAGTCCAGCAGGAGGGATAGAAGTGACCCATGCAAGTGCTGGGGAATGTCGTGTCCAGAGAGTCTCCAAAGCTGTCCCCTGGACCCAGTCTGAATTTGGAGGAAGGCACGTCGGCCTCTGTGGCTGCAGAGCACCCTTTTCTAACTCTGCAGAGAGAACCAGCGAGGGCTGGCTCTTCCCCCCCTCACCGCCAAGACTTCCTGGCTCCTAACGTGCCAGGGCAGGGCTCCGCATCACTTTTCCGTGGCCTTGCTGGCTGACTAGCCCTGCGTGAGAGGCTGGTGGCTGTCCAGTGGAAGGAGAGGCTAGCATTCCCTCCAGCATTGGTGGCTGGGGGGGGCGCATTTTCCTCTCCTCCTACCCACCCCTTAAGGTGAAGTGACCGAGAGCTACAGGACCCTGGAATAGGTCTGTGTCTGTCACAGTACGCAACTTTGAAACGGGCGCCCCTGACTGTGTTGCGCGTGGCATGTGGGCCAGGGTGGGCGCATGTGCAAGGGGCCCTGTGGTGGCTGGGTCTGCTGCGACATGGTCCATAGAGGAGAGGGGCCCGTGCTTGGCAAGGTTCACAAAGCCGGCCCTGGGAGTTGTCCAGAGTCCTGAGCAGGAACCACTCTGCCGTTCCTCCCTCACGGGCTGAGCGGCTGGTGCCCTGGGAATATGGCTGCAGCGTGGTATGAGCACGTGGTGCCCTTTCAAGTGCCGAAGGTTCGCAGCCCCCCCCCGTCTGTGAAGGAGCGTGGTTGCGCAGGTGCTCTGCCCCTCGTGCTCAGGGGTTATTTGCTCCTCTCCAGAGAGGCTTCCCTTGATGCCTTCTGCTTAAACCTCCCCAGTGTTAATCTGGGGCCTGTAAAAAATGGAGGCTTTCTCTAGGCTGGGATTTCACTAGGGGAACTGCCTCGGTACCCCCGGGGGAATATACTTGGGCGCTTAATTTATCCCAGTGTTTCTTGGCATAAGGTCTTGCAAGGAGCATCCACTGTAAGTGAGAAGGATCGAAAGGGGTCCCAGGCTGAGTGAAAATCCCTCTATGCAAACTATGAAGTGTATCCCCCCCGCCCCATAGTCACCCTCTCTTTCCTTGCCAGGGCCCCAGGCCTCGCAGCTAGCAGGCTGACCCACAGGGAGCCATGGTCGGTTGTGGGGTAGCTCAGCTCACTGGCATCTCTAATCCAGCATCCTGATCCCCCAGGGGCCAAGAGGGGCCTTAGGAAACCCACAGACCAGGCCCAGGGGCACCCTGTTGTGGGGCATTGTGCTGTCATGGCCTAGTAGCCTTTGTTGGCTCATCTTCTGTCATTGTTTTTACGTTGGTAGCCATTCCCTTGTTTTATGGAAACCAGTTCTGCAGTTTGAACTCCAGTGAACAGCATTGCGGGATGATCCTGAAGGATGAAGTATAACATATCAGGGATTGAAAGAGCCTCGAGCCCAATGTGGCTTCAGAGACCCCGAGAAGGACCCATCACTTGAGGGCTGGGATAGTTTCTGGCAGTCTGATTGCGCTATGGCAGAGGCAGACAATGTGGACTCCCTCATGGAAGGAGGCTCTAGGTCTCTGGCCCTGGGGAGCTGACCTACGTCTGCAGCCCTCCTTCCCAAGGGGTAGCGTGGGTGGGCATGACGGAATGCTTTGAGCTGGCTTCTGGCTGGAGTTCTTTAGGGGCAGGCAGGATGGGAGGTACCCGGGGCGCTCTGGGGCCTGTGGGAGATGTCGAGCCACCCAGTGTAGCTGAAGTTAAGCGAACCCTGCAGTGGCACGCAGGCAGAGCAGCAGCCCGTATCTTCCTTACAGCCCGTATCATTTCTCACCAGCGTGGCCGGTAGCTGGCATGGGCAGGGACCGCCTGTCGAGCAGCATGCCTGGAGGGTGCCAGTTGGGGAAAACTGGTGTGGGGTTGTCAGCTGTGCCTGCCTGGTGGCACCTCAGCCCTGAAGCCGGGTCTGCCCCCCCTGCCCAGGGCTGCCTCTACTGCAGGTGACCTGTACTCCCCTCTCCCCCTCTAACAAGCTCTCCTGGGCAGCCTGGCAATAAATCTCTCCTGGTGTGGGACGAGGAATATAAATATCCCTGTAGTGATGTGATCTTTCCAGCTGCTATTAATAGGCCCCCAGAGACTCAGCCAAGCCAGTGTGATGGGCTGACACTTAAAGAGACAGGGTGCCACAGAAATGGTATCTTTGCTGTCCACGCCGGGCACCCCTGAAATGCTGAAGGACCTGCCAGCGAGAGACGGGTGCAGGCAGGTCAAGAGTGGGCTAGACCCTGCTCCACCTTGAGAGGCACCGCAAGTGCTTCGCCACTGTCTTTCTCTTCAGCATGGAGCCGGTCGACTGCTCTGCTCGTGTTCCCCTGAAACCGGTGCTCAGGGATAGGGCTGGAGGTGATCCCTGGCCACGTGGCTCACAGGCTGCGATAGCCGCCCTGCAAATGGGCAGGAAGTCGGGGAGCGTTCCCCTGCCCTCTCCTGGAACTACCCCATTCAGCTAACCCTCTGGATCCTGCCAGAACATCTCTCTGGTTTTATACGCCTCTTTCAGCTCATCCGTTGCTTGCCCTTTTCCCCAAAATCCTGCGTTTAATCTTACACGATTTACTCTGGCCCATTAGCCGCTTCAGTTTTCCTTTTCTGCGCCTTGTTGATTGTTGCAATATGTTTTTTGAAGTTCACACAGAATTGCGCATAGACTTCCAGAGAGCATCATATATTTGCCTGAAAGCATGCTGATATAGACTGTTAGTTCCCATTCTTTTCTAATGATTCCCAAGGTGGAATCTGCATGTTTTCTAGCAACTAGACAGTAGATTGCTACCAAAAATTCCTTTCCTCAGCAGTCTTGACCAAGAATACCTATTTATGACTTTTTGCCCCAGAATGCATCATTTGCTTTTTGATGTTCGCTTCGGAGAGATGTTTCTGAAGTTCTTCAACGTTTCTTTGTTGTCTTAACTACGCTAAATGATTTTGGATTTGGCCATCTTAGTGCTCAGCCCAAACTCCATTTATGAAGATATTAGCCCCAGCACTAGTCCTTAGAACCTTTCATATTTGTCTGCTGGAAGAAATGTTGTTTCTGTTCTTTGCTTTCTCTTACCCCATTACCAACCCATAAAGAAGTTACTGTTTATCTAAGGACAGTTGAAAAGCTTTTTGGAAGTCTAGCAGTCTTGCCTCTGTCCAAAAATCTGTTGATATTTTCAAAGAACTTTGAAAGACTAATGTGATAAGACTTACTTTTGCCGAAGCCAAGCTGGTTCTTCAATATGTTTGAATGTCTTGCGTTTAATAACGACTCCACCAGTTTCCCCCTGTAATTTGAGGAATCTGTGTTGCCTTGGCCACTTTCCAGAACCCGATGCAGGTGCATTTGGGTTAGAGCATCAGCAGTGGCAGGTTTGGAGGGGATCCCTTACAGGACCCGATAGGATGGCCTGGGCCTGCTGTTCCTCAGGGTCATTCCGGTCTAGAAAGACCCTCCTCTTAAGGCCCTCGTTCTTTGGTGCGCTGCTCTGCGCCCCCGACCTTAACTAAGCCAGGAAGGGGCATGAAACGGCAAACCCCCAGGGCAGCGGGGGATAATTCTTGGGCACGGTGGAGGTTTGCAGGAGGCCTGGAGGATGCAAGGTGGGTGTTTCTAGCAGGAGCATGTTGCGGCCACCGTGGCCTCTTCTTGCCCCTCTGATGATTATTTTGTCTTCTGCCCCTCTTCCCCCCCACCCCAGGAGGTGTTTGGCCCAACAGGAAGTACCAGCGGTGGTGGGAGCAGAGACGCGGAGCTTCCTCCAGTGTCGCTGCCAGAAGCTTTAGCCAATCAAATGCACCCTGACAGTAAATTGGCCAGTCATGGAAAGACAGGTAACAGCAGCGCCCACTCCCAGCCCCAGCCCCACAATGTGAGCCCCACTCCCACTGGCAACCTGGGCGCAAAAGGCGTGGGGGGGGCCGGGAACCACAGCAGCAAAGTCGGCCAGCCCACTGCAGGCACCGTGGGACTGAAAGCCAGCCAGGCTCCTGTTTCTGTCTTTGGGGCCTTGAAGGGCAAAGTGAGGCGGGAGCGCAGTGTCTCCGTGGACTCGGGAGAGCGGCGGGAAGCGAGTGCCACCCCACTGGACAAGGAGCTGAAAGGTGAGGGTGCAGGGCTGGCAGGGGGGCGGCAGCGATGGCCCCGTTGCTCCCCGGGGCTCATCCTGGGGCGGGGCGGCAACTCATCTCCCACCCCGGCGGTGCCACCTTGAGCCCTGGGGGCGCTCACCGTGGCTTTTTCCTTGGTAGGCGAGGCTGCCCCTCGGAGCAAGAGGCGCTGCGTGCTGGAGAGGAAGCAGCCCTACAGCGGGGACGAGTGGTGCTCTGGACCAGAGAGCGAGGATGACGACAAGTCTCTGGGCAGCACCCACAGTGAGTGCCCGTGGGGTCAGGCAAAACAGCAGCCCCCACCGGCACTGGCCCTGGGGGCGGAGGGCGGCTTCTTCCTGCAAAGCGGCCATTGCTCCTCCCCGAGAGGCAGCGGCTGAACCCCCAGCCATGCCTTGGCAGAGTGCAGCCCCTGAAAGTGCCCTCCCGCTGCTTCTCTTCACCCTCCCTGGCACTTGCCGTCAGCTGGCACTCCCTGAAGAAAACAGCAGGGCGAGGTAGCACCAGTCGTCACTTGGGGGGAACATGGCCACTGGTGCCGTGGGACGGGGGTATCAGGCCACTGACTTGTAGTATTCTTGCGTATTAACAGGTTTCTGTATTTATTACAGAATTTTAGTTAACTGGAAACTTCTCTCCCATTTTCCCCTTCCAGCAGAGCTATTCAAATGGCAACAATCCCAACGAAGTAAAAATAACGGCTGTTGTCTAACCCTTAATTATCTGCACGAGCAGCCGAAGTTTTAAGAACGAATCAGTTTCAGCCTTAAAAGAAGAAATGATACGAAAGTAGCCCTGTTCGTTGGGGGGGGAGCCCGTATGGGTCTCCTGGGTGTTCTGCGCTCCAGGGCTGGGAATCAGGGCCAGGCCTCACGGGGGGCGCCTCTTTCCGTCCCTGCACCCTGACCTGGCCTGCAGGTTGAAGAAGCCACGCCAGGGGGCCTTGCGAAAACCCACCCAGTTTGATGCTCGCCTTCCCTGAGCAGGGAGGGGTGCAGGGGAAATTCCCTTCGGTCCTGCCGCCTGCCGGACACCTCAGGAAGGCAGCGAGCCTCTGGCATGAGGCGTCAGGCCCCTGGTCCCACCTGGGATGGCTCCTCCGGCTCTGCTGCCCACGGTGGGACCTCCTCAAGGCGAGCTCGGTCAGGTCTGCCCTGGCCAATCCTGGGGCCACGGCAGCCGCTGAACAGCAGCCAACCCCCAAGCCTACCCCCTTGTTCCTTAGATTGCCACGCAGCCGAGTCGGCAATGAGCTCGGGCCCGCAGCTGGGCCCAGGATCCAACCCTCTGCCGGCCCTGAGCGAGAGCAGCGCATCTGGCGCACCCCACACCGCGGCCCCTGGCCTGCGGTCCGACGCCGGAGGGAAACAGGCCCTGCAGGTGGTCTACGTCTTCACTACACACCTCGCCAACACGTAAGTCGTAGTGCTTCTGCCCAAGACCAGAGCCTGGGTGGTTTTCCATGGGCTGTGGGTGAGCTCTCCCATCACTTTCCAGGGCTCTGCCAGCCCCACCACGGGGAGGCTGGGCCTGGGGCTCCCATAAGAGTCGCCCTGGGGCCCCCACCGCCAGGTCTTGGGCATGACGGCTCTCTGGGTGTCCACAGGGCTGCAGAGGCTGTCCTACAAGGCCGAGCAGACTCCATTCTTGCCTACCATCAGCAACATGTACCCCGGGCAAAGCTGGACCAGGTGAGACGAGAGTGGGGGAGACCCAGTGGGACAAGGTCAGGCCAGCTGTCCCAAGACTGCATGGACGGGGCAGCAAACGAGCAGGGGTAGTTGGCAGTCCACTGTGGGCCCCCTCTTCCTCCCCTCACCATGATCCTGCTTCTCCTTTTCCAGCCGGCCCCTCACGCGAAGATGCCAGCAGTGGGTGAGCCCCTGCCAATCCACCTGTCTCCTGCCAGCACCCCTCAGGGACAGCCGGCCCTGCCCCCAAGCAGCCAGGCCCAGGGACAGCCTCCGGGGCCCCCCGCCCTGGGGCTTGGCCAAGGACCACTCTCTTCTGGCAGTGCTCTCCCCCCGGAGGGGGCGCCCGAGGACACTTGCCGGGACCTGACGCCCAACTCAGTGGGAAACGGCAGCAACAGCAGCAGCTCCACGGCCCCCGGCAGCACCCACCCCAGCACACCCACCGCGCCCAGCTCCTTGCCGGCCAGCACTGCAGAGGGCTTGCTGGGGGAAGGGGCCACCGCAGGCCCACATACAGCAGGGAACGGGCCCCGCAGCACCCTCAACACTGAGGGCCTCTCCAAGGAGCAGCTGGAGCACCGGGAACGGTCTCTGCAGACCTTGCGGGACATCGAGCGCCTGCTCTTGCGTGGCAGCGAAGCCGAGACCTTCCTCAAGGGCGGGCCAGGGACTGGGGAAGGGGCCATCCTGCCCCCCCAGGCCACTGCTCCCCAGCCTCCGCAGGCTCCTCTTTCTGGGGCTGGCATAAAGAAGTATGAGGAGCCCCTGCAGTCTATGATATCGCAGACGCAGAGCCTGGGGGGCCCAGGCCTCGAGCAAGAAGGGCCAGTACCCCCCGGGGTGGACCTGGGCCAGCCGATGAATGTAGTGCTGCAGCGCCTGGGCCAGGACAGCCTGACCCCCGAGCAGGTGGCCTGGCGCAAGTTGCAGGAGGAGTACTATGAGGAGAAGCGTCGCAAGGAGGAGCAGGCCGGCCTGCATGGGGGGCGGCCTCTGCAGGAGGTGATGCTGGCCCAGCCCCTGGGAGGCGTGATGCTTCGGGGGCCCCCACCACCCTATCACAGCAGACCCGGGGAGCAGTGGCTTCTGCGGGGAGCACCCCTGGACGTGCAGGAGCAGCTGCGGCCCTCGTTCTCTGCCCCACCCCGCTTCCCGGGCACCCACATCCAGAGAGGTTTTGCAGGGATGCCCAGCCTACCACTGGAGCCTCTCGGCCCGGTGAGCAGCGGGCCCCGCCCTGTGCGGCCTGGCTTGCCATGGGGAGAGGAAATGCCCCTGGGGGGGCCTGGGCACTTTGCGCCTGGGGGTCTCCCGTATCCCCCAGGGCAGGGCGAAGCTGAGCGCTTCCTCACCCCCCGGGCGCGCGAGGAGCTGCTGAGGCACCCACTGCTGGAGAAGAGGCAGGGGTCGCTGGGGCTGGAGATGGAGCGTGTCATGCCGGCCCACCGGCAGGTGGAGCCCACCATGCTTTCTGGTGAAGGCCTGAGCCTGGAGTTCGGGGGTGCTCGGGCCCTGATGAGTCCCCCACCCCCACTGCAAGAAGTGGAGCCAAGCGCCTTGGCTCCCCCCGCCAACCTCAACATGAACGTGAACATGAACATGAACATGAACTTGAACGTGCAGATGACGCAGCAGCAGCAGCAGCAGCAGCAAATGATGATGGCCCAAAAGGCCCGTGGGCCAGAGCTGGTGCCCTCCGAGGAAATGGCCCGAGGGCGTGCCCCAAATGGCACAGGGGCCATGCTGGGAGGGCCTCCGAAGATGATGATGGGCTCGCCTTTCTCGGGCCAGGGGCAGCCTCCGCCACAGCAGCAGCAGCAGGGCTTCTCCACCATGCAGGGCCCTTACCCCCCTGTGCCTCAGGAGATGGGGAACACGCCCGACATGTTTGGCCCAGAGCAGGGGAACATGGCCAGCACCCCACGGCTCAGCCACGTTCCCCTGCCACCCAGCACCAGCTCTTCTGCCACAAACATGCATCAAGTGCCCGTCAGGGGCCTGGGCCGCCGCCCTTCGGATCTGGCCCTTAACATGGGGCAGATGAACTCTCCCAGCGTGGGCCGTCTCAAGTCTCCAACCCTCAGTCAAGCACATTCCCCCTTGGGCACTTCCCCTTCTGCAAACCTCAAGTCGCCGCAGACACCTTCTGGCCTGGTCAGCCTGCCAGCTGCCGCTGCCACCAGTGCCCCCCTCAAGTCACCCCAGGTCCTTGGCTCTGTGCTCAACGTACGCTCCCCAACCAGTTCGCCCGGCCATCTCAAATCACCCTCCATGGCTGTCTCCTCTCCAGGATGGGCATCCTCGCCCAAAGCCGGCCTTTCCAGCCCTGGCAAGCCAACCCTTGGAATGAGCAACTCTGCCCCCTTGGGCCACCTTGAGCAAGGTAACGGGGGTGGGGCTCCTGGGTGCCTGGTGGGGGTCTGTCAGGGTGCCCCCCGCTTGGCAGGGTTGGCGTACAGCCGTGGAACTCACCAGTCCCGGAAGGAGGCTCGCTTCTAGGAGCGGCTCCATGGTCTTCAGGGCCTTGCCCTTGATTGGTTTTCTCTGCGAAGAGAGCGGGAAAGTCTTCGTTTGACAGACCATGTTGTAAACGTGGCTCGTGGTTTAAACCCGTGTGGCCTTTCTTCCTGTTGAGTCACCGTGGAGGAGGGACTGCAAACGGCCCGGTTTGTTGAGGCCTGGCACCTGGTTGCAGATGAACTTCTGAGGCACCTGCGATCCGCGGTTCTGTTTTACATCCGAGTTCTCAGATTGCTTAGGATCCCTCCTGGCCTCAGAGAAATGCCATCCCGAGTGGCTTGTAGTCATTTTTAGGGTTAGGGTTTTAGCTAGAAAGCTTCGTCATGGGTTTTGAAAAAAGCACTAAGGCCCTGTGCATCCAGTATCCCATCTTATGTTGAAGCCCAGCCGGTTCCCTAGGCAGGTGTCCTTTAAATCAAGGCCCACCCTTGCTTTCAAGTGGCCTGTGGGAGGCCCCACGGCAAAGCATGGACAGGGATACAGTCAGGACAAAAATGCAAGCTTTTTCATTTGGTTTCAGTTGAAACTTCATGAATGAAATGCATCAAATACGGTGAGTGTGATTTCCCTGCAAGGGTCTGTGCCCCTCAGAGAGGGTCTGTTACTTGGGGGTTCCTAGAGGTCACCCTCTTATTTAAGGCTGCTCATTGCTGTGGTTTGTTATCAATCTGCATCATAGTTCTAAAGAGCACGCGCACACTCCTGTGCTAATTATGTTACGAGGGGGGAGAATGATGTAACTATATTTTCCATTTAGATCTGAAATGCAGAAAGGAGCCCTCCCCTCCCCTTAAGTAAGCCAGCAGGTCCAGTTGTGAGACTAACACATTTTACTGAGAGAATGTTGTAAAACAGCAGGCCTCACTCCACCTGGGAGTGCCTCCTGTGAAAAAAAGCCTGAAATATCCCAGGTTGTCTTGATTTAAACCTTGGCTTTGGCTGGAATATCAGTGTGGATCATTGCCTGCCCTTGTGGGGGGGGGGGGGGGTTA